TTTTCTCTCTTTAATCACAGCTTAATTTTATTTTAAAAATAGCTTAATATTCTATATTTTATAAGATTTATGCATCAATTGTATAACAAATTTCCATCAAACTAAACTGAGTCATCCCAAAAAGGTGAACTTGAATTTAGGATTAATGTATTTAATTAAAATTAATTTTAAAAAAATGTTAAAAAACTTTGTTCTAAATAATACTATTAAATTGCAATGCAACTACATTTGATTTTCCATTGATAAAACAAATACTTAGTAAAGTTAAGCATATTTAAATTAATCAAATTTAAATTTAGTTTGACCGGAATACCATTAAAACCCCTCTGCAACTTTTTCCTGCTACTGTTAAAAAAGCACAAGAAATGATTCCTCTTTCTGCCCTGTGGGTGTAATGCAAGTCATAACGGGCACCAAGAAATCCAGAACAGAGAGGGCCATAGTGTCTCCTGTTACCTGTGTCCAAGATAGGCAGCGGATGAGGGGGAGGGCAGTGAGAGGCAGCGAGGCATCACATCTCCTCCATTTAATTGGCAAGGGAAATGAGTAGGGATAAGGTTAGTATGAATCCAGTCAGTCAGTCACATAGTCAGTTACAGGCACACTGGCATTCCAAACTGGCTCTTACTGTCCTGATGGAGGTGTCAGGTCAGTGCCGAGCATGGCCTCCCTCTGGCTCTAACGCCTCTGTCCCGCTCTATGCTGTCCAGGTGACGGTGATTGTCTCCCGGATTCTCATGGCGGGACGACTCACCTGTCACTAACTGGTCACAAAGCATTTACCTAGTGACAGAATTCCAATTAGACTGTGATAGAGGTGACACAGAAGAAAGAAGGGCGGAGGTGAGATGCAAAGACAAATGCAGAAACAGAGTGAGGGATGGAAGAGAGAGAGAGCTTGTGTTTACACACTGAAAATGAACGTGACACGTTACCCATTTCACCAACATAAGCTTTCAAAGAACTCGAGCAAAATATCATGAGCTGAATTGCAGTAATCCTGTGTCTCTCAAAAGCATTGTTGACAGAGCGATTAAATAATCCTTTGGGACTAAAGGTGGCAATGGAGGCAATCCCTGAAGAATGTTACCTCTATCTTTAATTGGCCTCCAGCGGCAGATGATGTTGATCCTCACCTCTAGAGTGTTAAGACGTGTGTTGAGGTTTGTCAGGATATTATCTGGCAGCAAAGTGACAGAGGTGAGCGTGACACTGTGTTGTGGACAACACAGTTCTAATTGTTTTAGACAGGAAGTCATTAGCTCACACAGAAAGGGTCGTTACGATGGATCATATGTTGATATAACTG